TTGCCCACAGTCAGGACAAATCTTTGTCACCCGCCAGTCCCACAGCCGCTCAGACCCAACCAAGTAAACACAGAGACTTATATTGCTTACAAACTGTGTGGCCGTGGCAGGCTTCGTGCTAACTGTTCTTATAGCTTAAATTAATCCATTTCCATAAATCTACACCTTGCCATGTGGCTGGTGGCTTACCAGCATCTTCACATGCTGCTGGTCATGGCGGCGACTGGCAGTGTCTCTCTGCCTCAGCCTTCCGTTTCCCAGAATTCTCCTCTCTCCTTGTCCCACCTACTTCCTGCCTGGCCACCTACTTCCTGCCTGGCCACTGGCCAATCAGTGTTTTATTTATTGACCAATCAGAACAATTTGACATACAGACCATCCCACAGCACTTCCCCTTTTCTTTTTTTCAAAGATTCCTACTACAGAGATCCTCCTGCCTCTGCCTCTCAAGTGCTGGGATTAAAGGTATGTGCCACCAACTCCCAGCTATAATTCTGGCAATATTCCTTAAGCTAGGTTTTTTCAAAGTAGAGACCTGACCTCAGTTCTCCTATCTCAGCTAAAAATACTTAATTGGACTAATATCTTCTAGGATTTCCTTCTTAAAGTCATTTCAGAATAATATTCTCCAAATATTAAGGGGTTTTAATGTGTTTTGTGCATACTTAAGGTTATAAACTGTATTATCTAAAAAAGTGATCCTACAAGAAGTTAACCATTCTTCATAGGATATTCTGTTCTGGGTACACTTGTATTATATAAAATAACAACCAGGACCAAAGACAGATGCTCTATAGTTTCTAAAAATCCAGGTTGTGCTCTGATGTACCAGTAAGAAATATATATCCTTTTAAACCAGGTAGGTGGCACACTTGGGAGGTAGAGGTAGGAGGATCAGGATTGAAGGCTATCGTCAGCTATATAGTGAGTCTGAGGCCAGTCTAGGCTGCATTAGACCAGAGAGAGAAATAGATAGGTAGTTAGAGAGGTATGTATCTAGAGAGAGAGGTAGGTAAGTAGACAGACAGACAGGATACATACATTATATATATATATATATATATATATATATATATATATATATAGAGAGAGAGAGAGAGAGAGAGAGAGAGAGAGAATGTTTATATGTATATAGAGGATAAATAGACACTAAATATATCTTTGTGTGTGTGTGTAAAATTATGTGTATGTATATGTACGTGCACATATTCTATGTGGAGGCCAGAAAACAACCTTAAATGTTGTTCCCCAGGAGAACCACCTACCTTGTTTTTTGAGACACTTTCTCAATGGGACATGGGACCCACTGATTAGGCTAGGCTGACTAGAGTAGGCCCTGAAAGGACCAAGCAGACGCCATAACAGGCCGCTCAGTCTTCTCTCAAAGATCAGGCCTCAATTTCAGTTTCCTGAGACTTGAGCAAGCAGTTTCTGGGAGGGCCATGAACAAAAGACATAGTCCTTGCAGTAGCTCCCTTTCTGCACATACTCTGACTGCTCAGGGTTCAGCCAGTTGTTTACTGACTGGGACCCCTCACCAACTTAGAGCTACGTGCATGGGTTAATGTGAACATGTGAGGCCAGCCAGCCTCCATGGCAGCTCAAGGACAGAGCCTGGGCCACTGAGTCAGCCCCCACAGTCAGTACATGCAAGGCCAGCCAGCCTCCATGGCAGCTCAAAGACAAAGCCTGGGACTTGTCCAGGCCTGCCCAAAAATGGTAACTGTAACCCCCAACTAACCCTAGCCAATTAAAAGTTACTAACATGATTACCACCCACATAAACCAATCCTGAGTCTGTTCCTATGGAGTCTGTAGACCCCACGCCCCCTTTCTTTAAAAACCCTGCCCCATTGCTATTCGGGGTCTCTCCTGCTCTGTTGCTGCGTCAGACAGATGTACAGAGTCCCGAGTTAACTCATAACAATACAAAGACTCTTTGCTTTTGCATCGGATTCAGTCTCTTGATGGTCTTTGGGGGACTCTGGGTACAACAGCCTCAGGGAATCTCCCATCTCTGCCTCCCCAGGACTACACCCAGTCTTTTACATGCATGCTGAGGATCAATCTCAGGTCCTCAGGCTTAGGCAGTAAACACTTTATAGACCTAGCCACTCATATCATTTTTTAAAAAGAATTCGTAAGATAAAACCATAGTTATTTAATGCTAGGCACCTACCCCAGGTAACTATTTTAATATTTCTTATACAAAATATAGGTAAACATTGATGATTCTGTGACTTTCCATGTCTGAACTAATATCAGAGGTTCATTCACAAACTCATAGCCATCTCCACTGTGTCTCCTCTTTGACCTCTGAGAAACACTTCCAGTGCCCGAGTCTCTTTCAAGCATGAGTCTCTTTCCTCCCTTGTCCTCATCCCATTGTGGTCAAGAGTCAACTGACTCCCTGTCTACTCAGGGTGAGGCCTCTTCCAGCTCTGCTTCACTGCTCGGAAAGTTTGTGGTGACGTGTTGTGACAAGAGCGTTGATCCGAGCTGCCTTTGAGGGTGTCAGGCTTTCTCGTGTCCTTCCTTACAGAAACTGCTGTAGCCTTTGTGCCTTGGGCTCCTTCTGACTCCTCTCAGTAATCCAAGCACAGTGAGGCTGGCTCGGCCGTGAATTGAACCGTTTTCTGCACAAAGGCACAGCTAAGTTAACTGAGCGGGATACTTTCCTGAAGGCAAGAACAGAAACATCTGGGGGACCTAGTTAAACGCTGCTGCTGCTGATGTAAAACTAAGATGTGGTTTGCTTGTGTGGTACTTTATGACGGTTCATGAAAGAAGCGGGTCTTCTGTGTCTGCTGAGCTTTTTTCCCTAAGGATAAGAAAACTTAGACTTATTTTCTCTTTCAGAAAAGAGGTGACGATTTTGAAACTGTCTCCTTCTGGCTTTCTAACACATGCCGATTTTTGCACTGTTTGAAGCAATATAGTGGAGAAGAGGTGAGAAAACCATGGTGGTAAAAACAGCATGCTGTGCTTTCTCTGACCTTTTAAAGGGGAAGTTTAAAAAACGTTTGAATCATGTTAATTTCCAAACCCCCAAGCATGTGGCTTAATGTACTGTTTCACTGATGCTTGCTAGCTTGTGGTAAACTGAGCAATGATGTCGTTTCCTCCTTGCTAGCATTTGAGAAAGCGTGCCAAAACAAATCCAGCATCAGTCAAGTGAATAATTACCAGAAAACAAAATCTTTTCTTAATATGTTGTGGTGGTCTGTGTAGAATTAAGATTGGGATATAGAATTATTTAAAAAAAATGAGTCTGTTTAGGCTAACCAATGGCACCTTAAAGGCAACCAACAAAAAAGGCATAATTAAAAATTATATATGTAACTGGGCATGGTGGTGCATGCCTTTAATCCCAGTACTCTGGAGGTAGAGAAAGGCATGTCTCTGAGCTTAAGGCCAGCCTGGTCTATAGAGCAACTTCTAGGACAGCCAGGGCTCACAGAGGAACCCTGTCTTGAAAGGAAAAAAAATCACATATGTATCTTTGGGTGTGTCTAAAAAAATCTATACTGATTTTGTTTGTAGTAGAGTGTTCATTCATTGTTGGATAGATTCCAACCAAGTGTAAAACTGTAAACTGTTGATTATTATCAAAAGCTGCTTACTGCGCATCTGACAGCACTTGATATACAGAATATGTTTGCCATTTGATTGTTATAACATCTCATGCGGTTAGCATTAAACCCATTTTACAGATGAGGACTCTGAGGCTCGGTGGGGCTCATCCATTAGCCGATAGCATCTTGGCATAAGGAGCAGAGCTATGACTCTGCATCTGCACAACTTGGAGACTTGTGGCCTGACCCCGCCCCTTTCCAATGTCCCATCCTTTGTCAGGAAGGCAGGCAGAGCAGCTTAGTCAGTAGCAATCTCTGGCACCCAGAGCAGAGGACTGTCATGGCAAAATAACAGGCTATACAGAGACAAGCAGGACACCCAAGAAGGTGGGCCTGTGAGAGCAGAATCCTGAGAACGGGGTGAAGAAGATCCTGGCTGGCCCCCCATTTCTACTGTGTCATCGAGGAAGCAGCTCCATCGCCAGGCAGGGCTGGTGAGCAGTGTGCTTAGGTCCAAGTGACTGGAAGAAGTGCCGCCTGTCTGGGGAGTTCTCCTTTAACCAGTGCTGCCGAAAGACTTTTCTAAGATCTCAAGGAAATCATTGTGTAGATTCTGTGAGTTAGACTAAAATGACAAAGTTCATTCATTTTCTAGTCATAAAAAGTGGTCTATTCAAGAAGATTATGCATATGTATCCCTCTGGGTGTGGTATATATGAATAGGACTATATTTTAAGAGCTAAAGAGTACTTTCAGTTATTTATTTAGTGTTTGGCAGTAGCCCCGCTGTTTGATTAATGAAATCTGTTTCTTTTTCTTAAGTTAAACCTCCCCCCACCCCCCACCCACCCCACCCCCGTCACCTCTTAGTCAGACAGAGCTCTAAGTGGAAGAGGGAGAGAGCAGGAGTGAAAACAGAGCAGTGTTGAGGATGGTCATCCCGGCACTGGGCATGGAGGTGCCGAGCAGTTGCAGAGGGAGGCGGACAGAGGCACTGGCTTCCCGGACACCACTAACACTGTGTTGATTCTAGGGCTTCATGAAGCACAACACGTCTCGCCAGAATGAACACTGCCTCACCAACTTTGACCTTGCTGAATACCGGCAAGTGCTGAGCGACTTGGCCATTCAGATCTACCAGCAGCTTGTGAGGGTGTTAGAGAACATCCTTCAGCCAATGATAGGTAAGACCGGTGTGCCTGAGCATCGCATGTGCTTGGCAACAAATGAGGCCAGCGGCACACGTGTCAGACATGTAGTCCTGTGGAAGACATAAAGTAGTTAGTACAACAAAATTCACTGTCTCCACCGGACTGAAGCACTAGAGTCTGTGCTTAATTCTCTCCAGAGACTTAGCTGCTCCTTGTTTCCAGCAGTAGACTCTTGCCCTTTTGTCCAATGTCAAATAGACTTCAGACCTCCAGCTGCTGTGGCACTACTGCACAGGCCTCCTGGGGGCCAGTGGAAACCAAGGAGGCTGGGTGGGTTTGCACTTGGCCTAGTGGTCCACAGTGAAAGGGCTGGAAAGGCCCTTCCTGGGGCAGCATACAGCTGTCATGGGTTTGCACCAGACACTCCTGTTGGAAGTGGTGGTTTCCTATGGCCTGAGTGGCTCACGTGCTTCTACCTGTGTATGGAGATGGACTGGGGGCCCATGCACCTCTCTTTATACTCATTCTGAAGGTTCTTTCATAATTTGTGTTGTCTGATTCCCTTGGGATGGGATGATATGAATGGAATCTTATGTATGATAGGAATTAGTCACGTCCCAATTGCAGGCTGCTGATTTTTAATGTAGCAGATTGTTTTGTTTTGCAAGTTACCAAACACTTTTATCTCAAGGCAGATTTGAGCCTTTTCAACTCTTCAGACTACATCAGGCTTCCCTTGCTTTCTTCCCCTGACCGTGTGTCCTCCACATTTTTACCTTTTCACCCCCTTCAGTAAGTCGTAGATTTCATTTCCTTTCACAGGCCCATATTTAAAACAGCTGGGGACATAAAAGTCTGAGGACGTCATATGAGATGGCAGTTATTTCTTCTCCTGTGCCTTCAGAAGCTATAGACTTAAAACACTCTAGATTGACCAAAATGCAGGAATTAACACAGAGGCAAGGAAGACCAGCGTCCAGCAATCTTTTCCGTCTTTGCCCATGGGTATTGGCTGAACAAGAAGTTTGCCTCCACACTGTCCTGTTCTTACTGTCCCCTTATCCCAGTCAGTTAATAGCAACAACAACTGTTTCTGAGTCAGTATAAGGTTTGTGAGGAGCTGAGTTTAGCACAAGGAAAAAAAACAAAACAACCCAGGTCTGATCACTGCTTTCAAGGGCCTCCCAGGCAGGGGATGGACATCTCAAAGTGGACATGTCAGAGTGGGTATCTCAGAGTAGACTTGTTAGAAGCTTTCTAAGGAGGCAAAGCTAGACACACACAGAGGGGGGCGGTGTACAGGAATAGAGACTACGTGTGGAGGAACGGAAGCTATCCCAGAGTCTCACAGCAGTTGTGGGGATCTCAGGACAGGGAGGGGTTCAGCTCTCCATCTCCACACCACTAACTCTAAGATCTTCTCCAAGACTGCTTCCCAAGGCCTGCCTTCCTTACTGTCTTCTTGTTACTGTTTTGTTCTTGTTACTTTGTTGTTTGATTTGTGGTTTTGTGTGTGTGTGTGTGTGTGTGTGTGTTTAATGTCTGAGAACAAATACAAAGAACACTTATTTAACCACTCTTAAAAACTTCTCAGATACCACATGCCAGTACAGTCCCAAAGCTGCTGCTTATTTTAGAAAATATAGCAGTAAGGTTACTTAATACTGTGGAAGATTTGTATTTAAAAAACTGACTACTTGTTAAAGTTTAAAATCCAAAGGCTTATTCTTGGGGCAGTTCCTTCCCCCACTGTCTTCATTCTCAGATCATTTCCTAAAGTGTTTTGTGTGTGTGTGTGTGTTTGTGTGTGTGTGTGTGCATATACATATGCACTCCCTCTGAATCCTCTGAATAACTGAAACCCTTGTACAGTCTCAGGCATGCTGGAGCATGAAACAATCCAGGGTGTGTCCGGGGTCAAGCCCACAGGGCTCAGAAAGCGCACCTCCAGCATCGCAGACGAGGGCACCTACACGCTGGACTCCATCCTGCGGCAGCTCAACGCCTTCCATTCAGTCATGTGTCAGCATGGCATGGACCCAGAGCTAATCAAGCAAGTGGTCAAGCAGATGTTCTACATCGTGGGTGCCATCACCCTAAACAACCTCCTCCTGCGCAAGGACATGTGCTCTTGGAGCAAAGGCATGCAGATCAGGTGAGCAAACACCAACGTGTGGCAGCCTTGCCCTGCTTGCTCTTGAGGGCTGGTGACGTGTTTCCCAGCAGTGCACCCAGTGTTGGTGCCACATGGCCGGCCCCAACCATGTGTGGGAACGGTGGTATAGAGCCAGGTCTCTCGCTTGGGTGACTTCTCTTGCTCAGGAGGAAACCCTGCTCCTCTGTTCAGCCACCTTGTTTGTAGGAGTGTAAGGATGTGCAAAATACACAACAGTGGACATTTGTTTTCTCTCTTTATTTGTTTTGATTGCACAATAAGAAAACATTAGGAAAAAGATGAAACTTTCTAGTATTTGGTGGTTGTTCTAGAAATATCTTTCCACATTAGGAATATGAGTGAGAATAGACCCAACAGGAGCTGGAGAGATGGCTCAGTGGTTAAGAGCACTTACTGTTCTTGCGTAGGACCCAGATAAGGTTCCCAGCTGTCTGGATGACACCTACACGAGGGCACCTACATGCTGGACTCCATCCTGCGGCAGCTCCAGGAGATGTAACTCCCTCTTCTGGCCTCTGTGCACACTGCATGCATGGTACATATACATGTATCCAACCAAACTCATACACTTAAAAAAATTTTTTAATTAAAATAGGTTTTAAGTTAAAGAAAAATAATAGGTCCAAAGAGATAGTTTACTTACAGTTGAATTTGAAGAAAAACTATATTCCATTTTTAAATTTTAGTTTCTTTTTTATTTTAGAGAAAAGGTTTCACTGTATAACCCAGTTGGTCTTGGACTCATGATCCTTCTGCTTCAGCTAGGAATGCAGGCATGCACCAACCATGCCCAGCAGCAACTAAATTTTGTACCCACTACTCATCATTGCCTCATTATTGTAACATAACTGAATTGGGGGGAGGACAAATAGCTATTCTGATGCAGCCAGTATATTCACTGAAAAAGAGAAAAGGGGTTTTCTACTAAATCTGTAATTAACTACTAGAGAACTTTAGTGTTCTATATTGACCGTTCTTATCCACATTTCACTTTAAGGTATTACCTCCATTCAGGGAGTCTAACTTTTCATGAAGTCATGCATTTTTTTTTTTTTTAATGACAAGGTCTCATGTAGCCAGGCTGATCTCACACTCAGCATACCCAGTGATAACTTTGAACTCCTGATCATCCTGCCTCTCCCTCCCAAGTGCCAGGATTACAGACATGCACCATCACAACCAACTGAAGTCATTCATCTTAATATCATAATGCCTCCATCTGCCTGATGACTGAATTCTGTCTCTGTGTCCATCTGCCTTAACTGTAGTTTAAAATCTATGGTCAGATATCTGGCCACCTAAACCCTAGCATCTGTGCGATTTCCTTCTCTCTCCAGTTTGGAGTCTTTGTCCCTTCCAGGGGCTTTCCCTTGCCCTCTTTTCTTCTGTCTCTGGGCTTTCTAAGGCCACTGTTCCCATTGTCAAGGCCCTTCCCTAGAGAAGCTTGAGTCCAAGGCACATGGTGGGGTCTCTGGTTATTCAGTCACCCAGTTTGGAATCTTCTTAATTTGGAGTGCATGAAGAATTAAGAGGATTATCCTGCAAAGGGAACCTGTATCTGAAATTGCAGGAGAAGCCAGAAAGTACATTCTAGTCAGCTGTTCAGTAAGGACAGAGTCATACAATATATTCAGTTTTGTTTATTAGCAAGTCTAATAACTTTCCCTCTGATGAATTTGTTTCCATCTTCCAATAAAGACTTGGAGTCCTTGTCATTCAGTCTTACATAATTACAATTATAAGCCTCATGACTTTATAATGATAAATGTTAAAGCACAGCTGATTAGATTTTAGAAAATTGAACAAAAATACTACCTGTCATTTTAACTGACAAGGCTACGTACACAAAATTAAGACACTTATGACAGCATTCAGAAAATTTGCATTTTCTCTTTTATTCTCTCTTACACTTTCTCTTTTTATTTTTGGCGTAGGTACAATGTCAGTCAATTGGAAGAATGGCTACGTGACAAGAATCTAATGAACAGCGGGGCCAAAGAGACTCTGGAACCTCTCATTCAGGCTGCTCAACTTTTGCAAGTGAAAAAGAAAACTGATGATGATGCCGAAGCCATCTGCTCCATGTGCAATGCCCTGACTACTGCCCAGGTACCGCCTCCTAGGGTGGAACACTGTAGTAGCCCTCTCAGAGGAATTCAGAGAGGTCAGGCCTGGCTGTTGCTGTCCTCTGCACTGACCTCCTCCCTTGACAGAAGATACATGACTATGTAAATCTAGGAGAGAGGAGATTTTATGATCAATTAATACATTTCAGTGCTATAGTAGTCCCCTATAGAATATTCAGCAAAGAGTAAGTGCCTAGGACTCTGTATAATGGTCTCAGCCTTGAGATACGACCTGGAATACGACAAAGTACTTGCTCCCTTGGGGCATATATTCTGTGGTGCTCCAGTTCATGAATCCAGTTCTATGTTATCTAATAATTAACAGTTCCTTATATTTTTCTACTTGGGGCCAGCAAGGTGGTTCAGGTAGTAAAGAAGCTTACTGCCAACCTGATGACCTGAGCTTCATCCCTGAAACCCATGTGGTAAAGGAAAGAACCAACTCCCAAGGTTGTCCTCTGTCCTCCACATGCATGCTGTGACACCGCCCATATATGTACACACATACACAGCATAATTCTTCCTCTCTCAGTTCTTCACATGATTAATTCCCATCACACAGTATCGTACTTGTAGGGGAAAACACTTCAGTTAAGAATGAAAGATCTCTACCTCAGGGCCTTACAGTTCAGTAGGGAAACAGAAATGCATGAAGCTGACACTATCATAGAAATTCTTTACAAGAAGCATTGGAGGTACTGACAGCCTTTTTCTGAGAGGCGCATTGAACTCAAGGACAGGGACCAGATAGGAAGGTGTCAGTGGAAATCGCAGCAGCTGGAAGAGAGCCCACTGGTCTCCTTGCCTGGTATTTCCTGCGCTGAGTCTTCGTCTTCCCAGTGCTCAGTCTCCAGCGGTGGCCAGTGTCATTCACTTTGCTCAGGGAAGACAGTCAGAACCATCATCTGTAACTTCCTAGTGTCAGACTCAAGTTTGCAAAAACTCCTGCTGTGAGCTTCATGTAAGTGTAAATCTGCAGGACTGGTGAGGTCTGGAGACCTTCCCCGTTTCTGCCAAGTACAGAAAGTAATGGTATAGTGGTGAAACCCAATTTGTAGATGTTCCTCTCCTCCAGCTTTTAAAGAATATACTCTAGTACTTAACTATTTCAACTTTAGTACATGCCCCCAAAGGTTTTAGGTGATATATATATATATATATATATATATATATATATATATATATTCTCACACACACACTCATTGAGGATAAAAATAACTTTCTGCCTTACTTAAACAGTGATGTTCCTAAGGTTAGCCTGGGCTACATAGTGAATTCTAGGCCAGCCTGGGATACACAGAGATGCCCTGTCTCAAGCCCTCCAGCACCATAAAAGGAAAAGAGGAATGAGCATTTTGTGAAAGAAATTTGATTTTTTTTTTTTTTTTAGAATTTACTACTAAACTGGATGCTGGTAACACAAACCTTTAATCCCAGCACCTGGGAGGCAAAGGCAGGTGGATCTCTGTGAGTTCAAGACTAGCCTGGTCTACAGAGTGAGTTCCAGGACAACCAGAGCTACACAGAGAATCTCTGTTGTAAACAAACAAACAAATAAAAAGAATTTACTCTTAAGTTATTGGTTAAATTTCTTTAAAGACCTTGTTTTTTTGTATAATTCATTTATAGTAACTCTTTTCTAGACATATGAGTTTTTAAGATTGTTTAAAGTTAATAATTCTGCTATTTTTATATGCCCATATGTACTTTTATATGAAGACAGCAAGTTGCAAAAGAGCAAAAAAAAATCAATTCATTCCATTTGTACAAAAATAGCATAAGCCAGCATGTATAGAAAGTGGCTCAGTGGTTGCCCAGGATGTGGCCAGCTGTTGTTTTAGGAGATGGGGAGGACATAAGTAGGGGCACTTTTTTTCCATGCTGTCTTTTGTACTGTTTGAATGTTTTTCTAAATTTTTTTCTTCTTAAAATGTTACATAACTACATTCTTCTTCTAAAACTTCAAACACGAAGGCAAATGTGTCCTTCGGTATCTCCTTCCCCCTCCCAGCCTCCCCCAGGTAGAACTAAAAGGGAGGGACACAGGTCCTTCCCACTCACCAGGTCATGAAGAGCCAGCCTGTTTGTGAGCTGTGCCCAAAGCTTTCCCTTTTCCCTCTCCAGATCGTCAAGGTATTGAATCTCTACACACCGGTTAATGAGTTTGAAGAAAGGGTCTCTGTTGCATTTATCCGCACTATACAGGTAAGGTGCTTTTTCTTTGTTACTGTTTCACCGCAGGGTCATTTGAGCAGAAGACTTACGGTGTTTTCATCTCTTACTTTTCCATCTTACTTAGGTTGCAGTGCATTCACTTTTTTATATAAGATTATAGCCCATAAATATTTTTAAACAAAGATTAACATTTTTCATTAAAGTTTTTTTTATAGAAATTTCGGTAGACGTCTCACAAATTGGAAGGACTGACCCTGTTTGTTCTTTTTCTTATCTTCTCAGTTGCGGTTACGAGACAGGAAAGACTCTCCGCAGCTGCTCATGGATGCTAAACACATCTTTCCTGTCACTTTCCCTTTTAACCCATCCTCCCTGGCTTTAGAAACCATCCAGATCCCAGCCAGCCTGGGCCTGGGCTTCATTGCCCGGGTCTGAAGTGTTGTCCAGGCAAACAGAGCATAGGAACAGTTGTTTCCGGTGAGCTGGTGAAAATGCATTTCTAAAGAAAGAGCACTGATCATCTCTAAGGGAAGACGTTATTAACTGGAACCCCCCCCCCTCAGGACCCTTTCACTTGGGAAGAGACGCCGTGTCCTGTGTCACCTTTAAAGCACCGTTCTTCTTCATCAGTTGAGTTTACATACAGCTAAATGATGGCAGGGAGGAATGAACGGAGGGAAACTGTGTCTTCATCTGACAGCAGTGATTTTAAATCTTTAGTGCTGCATTAAGTGACATACAAAAGTACAGCTCCATATGTATGAACTGTTGTTAGCAAGGCACAGAGAAAGAACCGAAAGACAAATCACCACACATATCATATCAGCTTAGGAGCCAATCATGTTGATATTGTCAAACTGGATCAAAAAATAAACTGGCAATATGTAAAGTAATTGCCCAAGTAACGTCCTTCTGTGTGTCGTCATGGTACAACAACTGTAAAGATGCCGGTTTGCTGGGTAGTGTAGTTGATCTTTTGTACTGTAGCTTACCAAGCATCTTCAATGACTGCTGCGTGCTGTCTCCTGACCTAAGTGATGCTCTTATTAGGCACTACCCAATGAGCTTCTCTTTCATCACTCTGTTTACAACTCAGCCAGATCAGTTTTAACTGGAGTATATGCAATTATCCACAGGTTCATCTGCACAAGGAGCAGGCACTGGAGTCGTATAGTAGGACAGGTTGCTTGATGTTTAGAGTTAGAGTGGCTGTTGATGTCATTGCTGATCAGGATGTGTTACATTGATATGCTAATTAATTTTACCTGTGTGGATATCACATCATGGTATAGTGTTCTGTAAAATTACTTATTTTTAGTTCCCAAATCTGATTCTTGCCATGCATATATTCAACCTTAACAGGTTCTATTTTTAATTTATTAAGTGTTAGCCTCAGTCACTATCTAGAAAGGACTGTCAGAATATTTATGATTCAGATCTTGAAACTTTGATTATCCTATAAGTTATTCAAAAAAGACATAATAAATCGTTATAATTCAGGGGGTTCAGGTGTTGCAACCTCTATAAATGTTCTCAGATATCACTGGATACTTTAAAAACATTATATTATAAATACATTAAGAAGATTTATGTAAGAAGTATAAGAAGATTATTACATTTTATAGAGGATTTGGTTTAAGTAAGACCTAGATTCTGTAAATTTTCATTATTAAATTCTAATTAAGCATATTCTCCATTTTTTTCCTGGAAATCTTATATAATAAATCCTTTGGGTTATGCAAGAACAAATTCTTAGCTTTTATTCCTCTGGTTCTTAATTACAATCATCAGTTTATATAGTTTAACTGTAAGATGGTCTATAACAGTGACATTTAAATATGTGCAATATTATTGATGAGAGCTAAACAGTTTCAAGTCAATGATAAATACTGTTATTAAACAGCGATTATTGTCCATTATCTTACTGGAGCCTGAATGTCCTTGTTTATAAAGTAAGAGGGTGGGACAACTGGTTGTTCCAGCCACTTCCCCATTTACAGTGCCCTATGCTTGGTTCCTAGAGGAAGGGACCAGAGTTACTCAGTCCATCCTGTTGGAAAGACCAGTGTTTGTGCCTGTCAGTTCCCTAGGGTTAATACAGTAATCACAAGTTTATGTAGCCACAATGTTTTCTTAACATACATCATTTAGATACTTTAGAAAAATCCTAATATATTTGTGTTCTTTGAAAGTTACTTAGTTGAGGTATTTTTTGTTACATGATGAACTGCTTTTTTGTTTGGAGATTTTGTTTTTTGTAGTGCTAGGAATTGAACCCAGGGCCTCGTGTATGTTAAATAAGTACTATCACTGAGCTACAGTCTCCACCCTTTATCAGTTCTACTACATTTATTTATTTGCAGAACCTAAAACACTAATTCAGCCAGATTCAGTTTTCACGGGTTTTCCGCCTGGTTTCAGTCACTGCATTAGTGCCGTGTGTCACACAGCAGAGAACGTGCGGGTGGGAAGTTGCTGAGCGAGCACAGCCGTGTGTAGGCTGTCTTCCCTCCACCCCAGCAGTCCTCCACTCCCCGCTCCCAGCTTAATCCTGTGTAGACGGCTGATGTACACCGAGTTTTGTCTCAAGACCACGCTGTCATAGCCACTGTCCCTGCGGCCCCTTTTCCTTACTCCAGACATTGTGTCCTACAGCTTCTGGCACTTTCCCTCACGGATTTTTCTCTGCTGTCAAGAACCAGCGCTCCTCTCGGTGGCTGTCCCCTCTGCAGTTTCTCCTGTTCAGTGGCAGTGAGTGGCTCAGAGTTCCTCTGATTCCAAGCTAAACGAAACTCAAAACCTGCTAACTGACTGTGTGTACTTTGTCGAGGAGGCACCAGGTTTCCGCTGGCTAGGTGGGATCCCCTCCACTCTGTCATCAGTATCCCCAGCTTCAGACACACACTCAGCTTCCCCCTGCCTGGCCCACTTTCCCACCTCTTCCCTCAGCCTAATTTACTGTGGCCCTGGTTGGCATGCATGGGGCTCACCGTTTGGTGTCTGCACACACCTTTCTGTTCTCATTTTTGTCCTAAGGACATCATTCTCACAAATTAGCCTTTCCATAATTCAGCAAGTGACACACTTGGCCTCCCAAGAAGGAGCTCTCGGCAGGCACGACAGCCCAGCACCTCTTCCTCTAGCAGCCCTGCCGGTAGCCACCCACTTTCCCTGCTGTGCGCGCAGCTCACACCCTTGGAATCCAAGGTGAGAAGAAGCAGTTTGCCCCTCCCTCCCTGCAGCTTTTCTTAGCCCAAGGCTGAGTCTGCCTTAGAGTAACTCCAAAGCGGGAAAGACGAGCATGAAACAGAACGCACCAAGGACAGCTTGGTGGTCCTCTGGAAGCTTTGAGCGTTCCACATGACCTGGCACTGCTTTGAACGCAGACGACAGAACTAGAACCCAAAGCCCAGTGGTAGGACATTTAGATTGGGGCCACTTTAGATGACCTGCTTCGTTACTGATCCATTTCCGTAGCTAAAGAAAGACTCCTTATGGGCGAGCAAGTGTGTGTGATACACACCCTTTACTAGTGTATACAGGAGGCTGTGGACATCCTTTGAGTCTCGGTGTCTTGATTATTATGAGAAATTACTTTTCTGACAGTTCTAGAAAAAGAGGAGCTACTACCATTCTGAGAAGCCCACAAGGAGTTCACACGCACGCACGCACGCACGCACGCACGCAGTTGAGAGTTCTTCAGGAGGCATAATCCAGGGTCCTCTGGGTAAGACCAGCCTCTTAGGATAGAGAGCAAAGGCCCGTGTGTGACCCTGCACGGTCCTGTTGAAAGTCGCACAGAAATAGGACCACATGCATGTGCTTCACACCAGCACTCCCCTTTGTTACCTCACTTCCTCACAGCGTCACAGGAGGTGGCTCCCACAATCAATGTGAAGGTAATTAATTCACAGGGACAGTGAGATGGTCAGTGACTTGCCTAGGGTGGCCCTGCCCTCTGGCAGGAAGGGCAGGGGCTGTCCTGTCCCTCCAGATGCTGCGGAGTGACCTGGGCTAGTAAGGGTGCTCTTCATCTTGACTGGGGTGTGGAATAGACAGTGAGCACCCACTTCTCGGGAAGCCGGGGCACAGTACATATGGCACCGGCTGTGACTCGACTTGCCTTTTGTCACGAATCAGTGCTCCTTGACAGGGTATGGACTCCCAAATTAGAGGTTGTCCGAACTAAAAGGGCGGGAAGCAGTGAAAACCTCAGATGTGAAGAGGCAAGGCAGGCCACTCTCCACACCCCTGAGGTTTCCCTGAGAGAGCCCCTGGCTGAGCTGCCGCTGCTGCATAGAGGAGCCCAGGACATTAAGTTCCTCCCTCCCTGGGGCTGTCCACCCTAGGTGGGTGGTGTAAGCTTGGAAGCCACAGCATGCTGCAGGGGAGGAGCTGGGAGCCATGCTGGGGGCGTGCATGCTTGAGCCACAGGCACTTCATGCTCGTGAGTTGTAGTTTGTTCAGACTGTGCTGTGAGGGCCGCCTTAACCCTTGCCCCCTCCCTTTTAGAGCTGCCTTAAGTCCCCAGAACTTGTCCTCAGTGAGGGATATCTCGCCATGTTTCTTGAGGTTTTGTGAGGGTTTGGATGGGATGCGGCCTCCTACCACTGATTCCTCCCTCCCCTTCCTGCGTCTCCCTGCCCCCTCTGTACTGTCCCTGCCACGCAGAGACTAGAGTTTATGAAGCAACCAATGAAATGTTAGCTTTAAGAGTGTTTCTGGGGTCGGCTAAGCCCCTGTGACAGTAAGCAAATGCGCATGCGCACGCGCCTAAGCAGGACAGAGGTCAGAGTATTCGCGGGATTCTCGCTTTTCACTAACCCTTGTTAATAAAGGCAAAAATACAACTCTAAGAACTTTTTATGGACACCCTTTTAAAATGCAAAGGTGCCCTACTGTGAAAGGCTGAGGAAACGCAGGGGAAGTAGCTGTGTAAGTTCTGATCCATTCGAGGACCTAAAGTAACTGTAAGTTCTGGTCGGTTTCTCATAGATCAAAAACTGAAAGATGCCATGTCAGACATCTCCCAAATGCATTTGATACGTTTTTTTATTTTATAATCTGGTCTAGCTAAAAATGTTCATTAGCTTAACGTCATGGGTAGAACTAGACTCATAACATATCTGAAAACAACTAACATTTTCTTGGCATTGTGATATTGCTTGGAATAGTTGGGAAAGTTTTGGGTTTGTTTGTGAAGGTTGAAATTGTCATATATAATTCAATGCTTAGAAAGCTAATGCATTCCCATGCCTTTTCCAGAGTTAGTAGTTTCAAATAACTTACTGTTATTATGTGTTATAAAATCTTAGCCTAAATCACGCAAGCCATTATTTTTCCTGAAAATAGTGATTTCTCCTTTAAATCTGGATAAGTGTTGTGATTTATGATCCCTAATTATGTTCTTTTGTGGGTTCCTGAAGTAAAATCGATTTTCTTGTGTTCTTTGAAAGTTTCAATTGTTCCAACAGTGTTGCACAGATGCACCCATGGATTTAATGTACTGTGTTTTTCTTTTAACTGTTGATAACTTATTGTGAAACGGACCTGCCTTTCAATACAGTGAAATACAGGGACACTGCAGTTTTCAAATCTTTTTCTTCCTTGGATCTGGAGAAAGAATTTTCTTGATCTACACAGTTAATCTCTGCAAAGTGGTTAGGTGAGGAAGCAGAAATATTGCAAGGTGAGGGGCATTATTACCAAGCCTCTTCAGGTCTGAACTGAGCCCATTCCAGAGTGTCTCACGGGAAGTCTTCTAGAAGGTTAACAATTCACCTCATATCAACAAAGCCTTGGAAACATGAGTTTTTCACTGGATATCACCTAATGCTAAAAGGAAAGCCAAAACAATATCAGAATGACGTTTTATGCTCTGAATTTGTAGCTGTCTAACGTTGTACTTAGTGTGTATCTGTCATAGCACTGTATTCTCCTAGCTACTGTAGAAAATTGTTGAAATAAAGATAAGGATATAAAGAAATTCTGTCCATGTCTGTAAACCCACCTCACATGTTAACACAACAAAACAAATTGTTACTCTGAGGATTAATAAATGTTAGTCTGCAAATGAGAATCTCAAAGGGTCCTAGGAATGGAAAGGGTGATAAGTTCTCCATCTGTACTGGAAAACAGTGAAATACAAATGGCCAGCCACAGAGGCAAGCAGAGTGACTAGACCAGCTGAGGAGCAGTGGCCTCTTTTCTTCAAGAGAGGCATGCCTGGGTAGCCTTGGAGCCTCCGACAAAAACCACAGCTGAGGCCTTGGGGATGGGATGTGGGTTTTCAGAAGCTTAAACAAGATTTGTGTCGAAGTTCAGCTTTTAGTACAGAGGAAAAGACAACTATATAGACTAGGATGGAAATGAAAGGGTGTGTGTGGGACACTCCTTTGGAAGGAGGAAAAAGTCTGTGATTGACTTAGTCTTAGCTTCAGTCATGCCACGGGAGCGTGAATATTAGGCTGGATGATAACTTATATCCCATTTTCACATCACAACAAGTTCTCCCCAGGCTCAGTTAGCAAGGACTTGCCTTCCTGGAACACCACAGCAAGGTCCCAGACAGGCAGCGCAGGAGTGACATTAGCCACTAGCCCTGGGGAATGCATGGTCTTGTGTACTTCAACATGTTACAAAGTCATGGGAAAATTAACATTTGCTAACGGCTTCTCTTTCTAAACAGATAAGAACTCAATCAGGGTTTTCTCTCCCAAGTGAAACCATTCGCTATGGCATTTTATGATTGTTAGAATTCTTTTCTGAGGTACAGGATAGAAGTCAAACTCGCTCCACCCCAAAGGGAATCCATTTTCTGACATAACTGAGTTGGGATGTGTCTAGGTGCCCAGTCGTTGGCCTTGCAGATAGACACATTACTATCCTTTAGTTAGGCTTCATTCTTAGCCAGGGTCTCCCCAAGTTGTGACAGAGCCCCCAGAAGCACAGCTCTGCCATCTAAGCCTCTTTGTTAGCATTGCCAGTCACATGTCAGAAGAGAGTCTCATTGACCAGATTGAATTCTACATGCTTTTTGTTTGTTTTTTGAGACAGGGTTTCACTCTGTAGCCCTTCTGGAACTCACTCTGTAGCCCAGGCTGGACTGGAACTCACAGAGATCCACCTGCTTCTGCCTCCCAAGTGCTGGGATTAAAGGTGTGCACCACCACCACCTGGCTCCACATCCTTTCTTAATCACTGTCTGGGGGAACAGAGCCTGGCCAGCCTGAGCCACACCCCACCACTGGACCTCGAGTCACCACAGAAACAAGGGGGGGTGTGATGGCTGTGCCGTACCAAGGCAAGGACGGGAAACAGTTAACCAGAAATGAAAGCACACATCTACCCACGGGAGAGAAGGGAGCAGCGGCAGCTTGTACCCCCGGAGGTGTGCCTCATTCCTCAAGCGTGGGGCTGCTGGGCTCCAGGATGACATCCCCAGTGAGAGCACAGAGGGGTCAGGAAGCGAGGCACTGTGCAATTGAAGGATTCCGACATGGCATTTGCCACCCAGAGCAAGACCTGGGAATCGTCCCCTCGGCAGGGCCTACAGTGCTGCTGGAACCAAAGCATGGGCACTGTGGGGAAACGGCAACATAAAACCTTGTCACGTGATCTTCCTAGCATGATGTCAGCCACTCTGCTGGACCCCGCATTGGAGTTCAAAGAAAACACAGGTTAGGTGAGGTTCAGAAGAGAACTCAAGTCCTCGGGCAACTTGACCTGGGGAAGTGGCAAAGGGACGCAGGGCTGGAACAAGTGGTGAGATATCCCAGCGGTCGGAGGCAGGAGAACTGCGAGTTCGAGGTTAGCCCGGGCCACATCAGTCAGGTGAGCATGGGCTAGAGTGCAGTTTGTTCTGGGAAACACAGAAGGTCCTGGGTTCCATCCCGGTACTAGGGGAAAGGGAAGTGGAGTGGACAAGTCCTGTGAGACCAATAAAGAGAACATGAAGGATTCATGAGACCTAAATTACTAAACATATATTTCAAAACATCAGCAATGTTACCACTGAGAAAACAAAATACCAAGTTTATTTCACCAGTAGTAAAGTTCTGGAATTCTGTATTACTAAGTCTGTATTGCCAAGAAACTTGAATGAATGAGAGAATTCAGCTAATGTTAACCTACTTTGGGAAACACACACACACACACACACACACACACACGAGCTGGGTTATATCAAAGATTCAGGCCCTAACCCAGGGAAATGTGAAGATACAGGCCCCCCTTTTCACATACATCCTGGTAAATTCAGGATTCTGCATTGAATAGCCTGAGCTAGGTTGACGAACACTGTATGGAAAGATGGGACTCCTTTGTGGGAGAAGAGAAGCCTGCGTGGCAGAGGCCAGAGGAAGACATCAGGAGTCTCCTTCAGTCACTTCTTACCCTCTTCTGGAGACAGGAGGAATTCATCCATTCATATAGTTTGGCTCTGGGGATCAGAATGTCTGAGTCCTGGGAATCTGAACTTGGGTTCCCTTACTTGAGCTACAGACATTTTACTGACTCAGCCATCTCCCCACCCACAACCTCAGGCAGCTAGAAGAGAGAGAGGGAGGCAAACATGGGTAGGAATGGAGTTACTCAATAAGAAGTGAGGAGACAGACCGAATTATCCTTGCAAAGCCAAGCCAATCTTAACACTAAATATTCCTCAAAAGTAGACTTTAAGAGGTACATTCTGGCCCAACAGCATCAAGAGCTCTATGAACCCACTGCCTGTGGAAACTGGTGACAATGTTTTTTGTTTGTTTGTTTGTTTGTTTGTTTGTTTGTTTGTTTTTAAAGG